GACTTGGTTAAAATAATTGTCTTTTTTTTCCTCTGTAGAGTCTTTGATCAATGAGGTGATGAAGTTACTGAATGTCCATAAATACAGGAGGACTTACTGAACTTAGCCAATAACACTGCCTTTTGAATAGCACCATCTTCAAAACACTCCTTGAACTCCTTATATCTAGAGCTATACCAAGTATGGTCCCTCTTCAGGGTTGTTAAAGATCACCACATTGTATCTGAATAGGAACTAAGCGCTGTTAAAAATCAAATCTCTCCTTGACATCAGGGCCACTGTCCTGTAGTTTCTTTCTGTATTAATAACATCATGACACTAAGTTAAAATAATTAAGTTCAATTGGTTTCCACATGTATCCTTCCACCTTTGTAACCCTAGTATTTATTACCATTTTAGTATTTCTGAATTCAACCAAAACAGGTTATGATTTTTAAAAAATCATACAAGAAATTCATTTTTCCTATAAACTTTTATGTGAAGTTTTAGAGAGTAAAAACTCCAGAAAGCTACTAAATTATGAAAAAGGAGCTGAATTTAATGTTTCCTGAATCACTGTTGAGTGAAATCCAAGTTAGGATATTATCTCCTTCACTTAACAGATTTTTTTTTCTTTTGAAGTATAGTCAGTTACAATGTGTAAATTTCTGGTGTATAGCACAATGTCCCTGTCAGGCATATATACACACACATACTCATATTCATATTCTTTTTCATGAAAAGTTATTACAAGATAGTGAATGCAGTTCCCTAACAGACTTTTAAAAGTGTCATGACAGTCACTGTCCTTACTATTAAAATCTCAAGCTAGTAATATCACGAAAGAATAGGCTTAGAAAAGAACTTCACATCATGTGCTTTCTAATTCCCTTTTGTCAGTCATTGTGGGCTCACTTGCTCAACTATTGTTTCTTTTCACTATTTCCTGCCACCATCACCAAGATTTCTCAGACACTTTCTGACTTCTTCATGTGAAATTTCATGTTTTATATTAAATAAACTATAAAGGCCATAAAAACATATTCTTAACTTCCTTTCAACTTTTCAAAATTCTTTTTTGGTATATTATTTCTTGTTATCACAATATTCCTTTGAATTAAACAGGAGGCATAATATGTCCATCATTTAATAGATAACTTGAGTCATTAAATAACTTTCACATAATCATGCAGCTAAATCATTAGAGATTCAAGAATGTAAAGTCTCATTTAATCTAAATCTTTCTTTAAAAACAAAGTGAGGACACTGGGGCTATGAAAGAACACTGATTTGTCCCCAATTTTGTGAACTCTCGGACAGAGCAAGATCTAGGACCCACTCTCTCTGGACTTCTAGGCCAGCATTTTCTTCCTGACCGTTCGTAAGGTTAGGTGCTAAATTGTCATTGCTGGATGCTGACTTCACTGCTAATCGATTTCTAAAACAAACAGAAACAGTATCTCAGATTTTATGAAGATCTTTATTTCACTTCTGTGGGAGGTAATAAATACCCTTTTGGAGCAGTTTTATTTGTGGGTTTTCACCTTCTGGGTTTCACTGTAAGTCTTCACACTAAAAGTGAAACTGGCACTAATTATGGAAGTTTTTCTTGGTTTGAGGTCAAGTCTAGATGCAGCTGCTGTGTCTTACTGAGTTTCCAGAACAAATACTGATCTCTTTTCCCCATAGGTATTTTGAGAAGAAAGATAAACTGATTTTAATACAGTGTCCTCCTCCAACCATTCATATATTGAGCCAAAGTTTTGAATTTTTAATAAGCTTCAGTTCTAAGATTGAAAACTCAAAAGAAATAGAGATACCTGAAGAAAGGAAGTGTGGGTTCAGCATAAGCACCTAGCTGTTACATTAAAAATACCCTTTTTTAATGAATTTTGATCCAAAATTATCATATTGCATTATTGTCTCTACAATAAAAAAATACCACCTACATAAAAGCTACAATGAAACCTCATGTAATTAGAGTTTTAGCTCTTCTCTCCTGAAGTTGATGGATTTCCCCTTATTTACAGAGTTCTCAGTAGCTTTAACAATTTCAACTTTCATTTTTGCAGACTCAACTTCCTTGGGGGAAATGTCACAGAAACAAGGAAGATGCTTCAGTGAAGGTCTTCGTACTCCTTATTGATTAAATTTTTAAGAAAACTTCTGTAATCCTTTCCAGAGCTTGAACTTCAGTTTATCATATCACAGTATTGTTATAGTTTCAATTAAATTATGCAGATAATTTCAGTGCATAGATATTTTAAAAATATATATTTTAATCATTCATAAATGATTGCTTGGCCCCAAAACTTAACTTTTCTAAGAAACAATCAAAAAACACAATACAGTGAAATGCTTTCTATATTCATTTACCATTTACATATATACAGTTGAAGAATAGTAGCTGAAGAGTGATTTCCTTCTGTAAAATTTAGGCATAATCCATTTGTTTATTATTGGGAAACGAGGAAAGACAATGTTGCATATTCTCTCTTGAATACCTTCACTTCTCTCTTATCCTTTGTCTGTGAGCCTCTTGGGTAATGATTGTGAAATTAGGCTTCTCTTATATTCAAATTTCAATCAGGTTGAACCAAATGAAACACAGTCCCAGTTCCAGAAATAAGAGAAAACAGGTCTCTGAGCAAGACAAAAATAGCGGTAATGAAGCCCATAAACTTTACTCTGCAAATGAACTGAGAAACATTGCAGGTGAGAACACACAGACTTGGAATTAGGAAGTGAAGGATATTACTCACTTGCCAAGCTTGGCTATCTCGCATCTCATAACAGCTTTCCATTTCTCTAAATTATAACTTATAGTTAATTATGAGCAGCAATGGCTGATTGTGAGGAGAACAACTACACACAGAAGTAACAGATGAAAGTGTAGAGGAAGTCAAAGAATCACCAAGTGGGAAACCACCAGAGCAGCTGGGGCCAGTTAGGTTCACCCAACTGTAGCACCGTATGTTTTAGCGCATTGCAATAAGCAGTCCTTTTGATGTTAATCACTCAGCCAAGAATCCATTTAATCTGTTTCATATACTGTGTTTAATAAAGCAGTGAAGAATATAATATATTTAAGAATGATTTCTTTAAAATGATTCAAATTGTTTTTAATTGGCCTATCAAAGCATAAGGTTTGATATTCTGGAAAGCTCTGTTCTTGGTAAAAGCTGTGCTGTTGTTGTAATTTAGGAGCATAAGCCCATTGTGTGTTGGATGTGCTTTCAAAACATAAAGACAACTTATTCCTTGGACCAGAGATTTAGCAGAAGTTAGCAGAAGTTTAAAAATCCTTTGGAAATACTTCTTTAAACCCCAGTAATCACTGTCAAATGGACCTGATATTTTGGGAGTAAGAAGTTTGGCCAGTAGGTTTACTTTAGCCTAAAAGGTAAGAGTGTTAATGAGAGGTTATATTCATACTAGAAGAAGAGGAGAGAAATGGGTAGCTGTTGACCTTAATTAAAAATGAATTCATATAAGATCCAAAGAATAAATTAACTCAGGCATAGAAATGAATATGTATACTTAGAATACAGAGAGGTTTTGTGACATAACTTCTTCATTTGGGGGAAGTTGCTGCTGAAAATCTTTAAATTTAAGTTTAGGAAGAAACAGAAAGTGAATGATTAAGAGGCCACAGCAAAGAGAAATGAATTTTGAGAAAGCTAGCCGATTCTGTTTTTCATAAACTTGCATTCGAAAGTTAGCAGTGGCACATAGACAAATATTCTGCAGGGCCCACTATTTGGAAGAATTATGTAAGTCACCATTTTCTTGTCCAGCTTTCCAAACTTTCTGATGAATTATAGAAATATGTCCTCTTCTTTGGAAGCTCTTCCTTTGCTTTCTCTCCCCTTTGGATACTTCTTAGCTGCTAATCCAACTGGATGCTGCTGCTTCATGCTCTGACAAGAGGTATTAAAACCTACTTTAGCTTCAAAAGTTCTCATGGTAGAGATTTAAAGTTAAATGAAACAAATTGATTTCCCATCTTCTTTACATTCTTAAATTCAAAACTACACCTATGGCATCCAGTGTAATTAAAGAACTCTCAATATATTCATGTATACTCTATTCTAATGTGTAATGCATTTGTCTCATCACATCGAAACAAGACATCCATGAAGAAAAGAAGAAAAGTGGTTTCTCCACCTACAACTATTTTATTTCACATTGTTAACTTTTACCACTACTTTATACAGAGCAGAAAATAAGTCAGTGGTATGCTAGTTTAAAATAGGGCATTCTTTTAACGTAGCAGCAAATGAAGGCATAATTTCTGTTAAGAACATGATGAGTCATGTCATCTATTTGTCCGATGTACATTGCTAAATCCAGCTATACTTTATTGAGAAGTCAGCAGCTTGAAGGGACTTTTCATTTAGTTTCAAAGAAATATATCACCTTTTATTTCTCTTTGTTCCTGTGTGAACCTTCTGTGGGCAAACTGTGAAGATAGATTTCTGAGTTCTGGCATTAATTATATAACCAGTTTTTTAACAGGGGATGTTAATTCCTGGCTATACACACAAAAAATATCTAGCAATTTCTACATTTCATTGACAGATATCCTTAGGGAATTAAACTTTTTAAAGCAAATTGTTAAAAGATAACTGAATGGGTTCTTCTAAAAGGTAGAAGTATCAAACGCTTCTTTGAATGGCATTACCCCTAAAGTTTAAAAATGCTTGAATGTTGTTCAACTGCTCCAAAGTTAATAAACACGAGATGTTGAAAGCAGGGGTTTTGTCTTTCTTTATCATAATATGTTTGTGTTCACAACAGATGTAAATACACGGGAATATTCAGGGGTTACTGAGAGACTAATATTTACGTACACTTAAGCAGCTCCTAATAAGTATATTTAAATCACTACAGGCATACTACTCAACTTGGTCTGTTTTATATATTTTTAATATTTTTTTTTAGTTTAAGCAATATTGTCCATTCTGTCTCATGAGATAATTTTACCTTTAAGCACTACACAACTAACATCAAGGAGATAAACTGTGTTTTCCCCATACTGCAACGGAAGGGAATACCTGCAGACTCATCTGGCCAGCTTTTCTAATCATGGACATTCTTTCATTATAAAGTTACTTCAACAATGTTTCTGTGGCAGCACAGGTAGCAAACAAAAGTGAATTTGGATTCCCAGCCTTGAATTGACTGAATAAAGTTTGTTCAGATGTAAGCAAGGGTGGTTTGATGCATAGATCTGAAAAATAAAAAAAAAGAATCAAGAAAAATCCAATGAGTTTTTGTTTTGTTTTGTTTGATGTGTTTTAGCACACTGAGTCTAGTCTCTCAAAGACAATGCTGAGAGTCTCAAATAATTTTTGATGTCGTGGAAGAGGCAGAGATGAGAATTAAGGAACCCAAAGGCAAATTGTTCTGTAAGAAAGTTTTTCTATTCTGAGACATCTAATACTACTTTCTCCTAGAGTCCAATAAACAATGTATTTTCTGCTCCCTAGTAATGTATTCATTTGGTTGTTGTCATCTCAGTGACACTTGTCCTAATTAACAGAAAAGAGATAGTAGCCAGCATAATCATAAAAAAGAGAAAGGATAATGATGCATATTTGCCACATAAATTGAGACGACAGAATTTATTTTAATTTTCCAAGATGCTTTTTAAAATATTTTAATTGGTAACCCAACAGCCTTGTCATCACCAGACAAAACTATATGTAGACAATGAATTAATGAAAAGCATACAATAGATACAGAGCTCTCAACATTAACTCTACAAAGCCATTCTGATAGTCCCACGCCATTCAAAAGTGCAACTGATTTGTCATTATTATTCACAGCATAAACTTTAAGCATATACTATGCAGGAGAAATTCTGCCACAGTTTCTTCATGCTTGAAATAGTTATAATCTTTAAGTAGTAGAGTGAATAGATATACATCTTTCTCTAATGTTCCTGTCTTTTTTGCATCCAGAGAAAAAATTTTAGACACAGTATTTCCAAAAGCAAGCTAAAAAAGAAATAAAACAAATTCTTTATTAGAAATATATTTGATGAAACATTACATTTCAATAAAATAGCTTATGTATGTCTAAGTACAAGAGAGAGAATTTTCTAAAGCACGTTCAATATGAGAGTTATCCACTTCATGTGGATTTTTAAATTCATTAAAATTAAATAAAAATTGAAAATACAGCCTTTCCATCATACTAGCCAGCTTTCAAGGGCTCAGTGCTGACTAGTAGCCAATGACTACCATAACGGACAGTGCAGTTTAGAGAATGGTCACATCATTAGAGAAAGTTCTGTTGGACAGCACTATTCTGCATTACAGCTCAGAGAATATAGCACCTTATTAGATGCGCCCCTCTACTTTATAGTTGGGGTAACTAAAGTCCCAAAGAGGGTGTCACATAAGCAAAATCAGTGATAAATATGTTTTTATGTATTGGAGAAAAAAAGAAGGAAGGAATTTAAAGTTCACTTGCAAACCACCAAATGATAGTTATGTAATCTGATTGTCACACTGAGTCTTCAAATTCTGATCATAAAGTGATGCTTCAGAAAAATCAAACCAATTCTAATAGCATTTTAATCTTCAAATGCATGCATGAGTTGTTTTAAATCTTCTGTAGCTTGTTCCCAATCAATTGTCTGAATTTCAGTAGCTTCATCCAATTAATTACAAAATTCTCTAATTTTCTCCAATCTAAATGGTTTATAAAATTAAGACCTTGGGGATATGGGTCTTCAATTCACTGCTGATCAATGAGATGCACAATAAAAATGAAGTGGAAAACTCATAGTACAGTTAAGACCTTCTGTGATATATAAATGATAAATGATAGGCTTTCATATATATATATATGGCTTCCTGCCCAAGCTTCTCACTCTACTCACTCTGCCACTCTGCAAACTGTGACCCTAGTGCTTATCACCACATATACACACAGTGTTAGGACAGCACTCAGAGTCTACTTTTCATTTCTAAAAGAGACAGAGGTTTCTTTAAACAAAACCACATTCAAATCCTATGAAAGCAGAAGTTTATTTTCAAACATTAAGAGCTTAGCCCTCTAATCCAGTCTTCTTTTTTTTAGTATATTTTGGAAAGTCCCTTTCTATCCATTTGGATATCTTTGAGTATCTCAATCTGAAGGAAAATATAAATCTACACAAATCCAAGGTTTACACCACAAAAGCAGGTCAATTAAGTATGCACGAAAATATAGTTCAGAAAATTTTCTGGACCAGCTGAGTGGAACTGTCATGAACGGTATCACCAATAGGGCCAACTCCTCAAGACTTATCTACCGTTTGTCATTTATGTGAGGGAAAACCCTAACCAGCATTCTGTTGTCCCAGAATGTCTATCTGATTCACTCTTGTAATCCCTGTTTTTAGCATGATGCTAGGTGTCAGACAGCTACATTTTTAAAGGATGGAAGAATTTATCAGGTGCCTATCAACTATACATTAAATGATTAAACAAGTTATAATACTTCACAGCACGTGTAAGACACTATTGCTTTATGCTGAGTCTCTGGGTCTTTTGCACCTTCATACATTGTTATTCATGGTAGATTGCTTCTAGTTATAGCAATAAAAACCCCACTTCAGATATGATGTGGCTTGTTTTCATGACCTAACCTAGGGTTCTAATTCATGTTTATCACCATAAATACTTTGTTCCTACTACATACGTATATGTTTTAATATCTCCTTGCTTAAAAACAAACACAAAGCTTCCTTGACTCCCTCAAGCTACTCTAGCTAATATCCCAATTGTTACTACCCTTTAGCACAAAATTCCTCAAAAGAGTTGTCTGTTGTTAGTCATTCCTGTTGTTTTATCATGTTCCCTTTAACCAAAAGTCTATCAAATAATTTGTATCAAGGCCATCAAAACCCTTTCTATTGCTGTTCACATGAAAAGTCTCTGTTCTGATCTTATTGGACCTATCACAGCTTCAGGAACAGCTGAACTGTCTTCCTGGAAACCGATTTTTAATTTGATTTCTGAAGCACTTTTTTCTTTGTCATCTTTTTCCTTGGTAGCTGGTCCACTCAAACTCCTTTGCTGATTCTGTCTCATCTGCCCAATCTCTACCCTTGGAGTGACCTGGAACTTGGCCTTGGATGTCTTCTGTTTTATATCTAGAGTGATTCCCTAGATACTGTCATCACGATACCAAGGAACACTGATATGCAGATAACTGTCAAATTTAGTTCTCCAATCTGGACTGCTTCCCTAAACTCCAAATCTATATATTCAATGGTTTACTCAAATCACTACTGGGAAGATTTTGCTGTACCTGACGTAACAAGTTCAAAATATCTGTGGTTGAGGTAGGACTCTCCAGTGGTTCCTTGTGTTCCTCAATGTTTCCCAGGTGCTTCCCCAAAAGTCACATTGAGATTATGTGCCTAATTTTGGCAGTTGTGTATATTTACCTCCATGTCTCTCCTATCCTGCTACAAGGACACAGGGTGCAGACACATAGTGAAGGAAAATAATCAAGTACATAGGCTTCATGTAAACACAAAATAAATCACAAAGCAACCTACATCACTGAGATTGGAAGGTTGTTTTGTTAATGTAGTTTACCTAATGTATTCCAAAATTCACATGGATAACTTGAAGCAGGGTGTTACTCTAAGAAGAACCTAAGTTATGACCCAGTCTCAGCAACTGGTCAATGGCAGACAAGGAAATTGGTATCACAGGCTGGAAAAACAAAGAGCCATTTTATGAAGCAGCAAAGTAGTTGGTAAACTGACATCTGCAACAGTTCAGATTCAGACTGTGTTCCTCTTGAACTTCTAGAAGGAGAAGTGAGAAAATAGAATATTGGACATATTTTAAGGTTGCTCTTAAATACTTTCAGCAATGCATTGCAATAAATCAATGAGCTTAGGAAGAAAGTGGTGTCTTTGCAAACAAATAAAAAGGGAATATACTTCAGAAATACAAGATCTTGAAATATTGAGAGAGCTGTTTCTAGATCCCAAAACTATAAAATGGGATTTAAAATGACTCTCAGTGACAGAGGCCAGGTAAATACCAAGAATAAGGAACTCAGGGCAAAATCAGATTGTGTGTAGTTTTCAAGATGCATTCCAGACATCTTCAAGGCAACTAAGATGGAAGTGAGAATGCAAAATAGTTAAACTTGGATTTTTTTTTAAAAAAAAAGCATGTTTAGCAAATACTTGAGAAGCTTACTAAATTTTTACAAGTGCATCATTGCCAAAGAAACCATAAACCCTGAAATAAAAGATGTCTGACAATTTAAGACAAAATAAACGTTGGGCCTCCAACTTTGAGGGAGTGAAGAGGAGATCTGAGAAAACTGCACAATCCTCCAGAAGGGAATATTCCTCAAGAACCACATAAGATGTATCCAGAGATGAAAACGAAAAGGCCAAAAAAGCAAAAACCTCAGACAGGGTGGAGCTAGAGGAAACAGTACAATGGGCAGAGGACTCCTCCTACACACTAGTAGGTTCTAATCAAGAAATCTTTCTCCATCTCCTGGGTAGGAGACATTTATGGTATTTTCCCAGTGGGATTTCAGAATGGCTGGAGATCAGCATTCATGGCTCTTGTTCTTGTCCTTTATGAATAAGATTTTGGAGAAACAAATTAATGATTGTGGTTAGCCTGCCCTTATTCCTTGGCCAATTATTGAATTTGTCCTTCTAGTTAACAAGTCTGTGAATGAAGAGGAGCCATGTTGTGCTTGGTAAAGATTAGTAAGTGTCTCATGGAGAGCCTGTTCTTTTTTCTGGGTGCAGCAATGAAGAGGGTCTGGGGTTGTCTCTAATGGGAATCATTGGTTGAGTACAGCCTATGTGATTAAGAAACGATCAAAGGATTGGCTGTGGTTGAAGCAGTACTCCTCAAGTACTATAAGTACTTTCCAACGTTTATTAGCCTGTCTGGCTAATATATTGGTGGCAGCCCAAGATATTAATTGCAGGCAACAGACTTCAGTATAAGTGATGCCTGTCATCATATGGAGTCCTGAACTGAGGCAATTGCAAGCTAGGATGCATCTCTACTCCTCTCCTGGGTCTTGGTCACCTTGGAGGCAGTCAAGTATAGCAACGATCTAGATAATAGAGCCACAAAATAGAAGAGGGTTGTACTAGATGCACTGCACTTTACGTTTGGGTTTTATTATACTAGGCCTCTGAGATTTGAATTAAAATTGGTAACACATCATGGCCTACACAATACTAACTATGGAAAGGTTGAACAAGTCTCTG